GTAAAACAACCCACAGAATGGAAAAAATGAATTTTTTGTATCAATTTGAATTCTGTGAGATTAAGCATTGCTGTCAGCCAACTGTGTTTCTCTTCTGGCTGAGGGATGTGGTTCTGATCTTATTTAGGGACCCTTTTATAAATCAGATGAAAAACAAGGGGCCGCGTCCTCAGAAAAATGTTCTTCACATGACCCTCAACGAGATGGATTGACACAGTGGCTGCAACAATGGGTTCAAGCATAACGATTGTGAGCGTGGTGCTAGACTGGGCAGTGTTTCGTTCTGTGGTACACAGGGTTGTATGAGTTGGAATTGACTTGATGGCACCTAACAACAACAATAAAGTATTCCATGGATTTGGGATTAAAAACCCCACTTGAGGATAAGTGCTGTTTTAGGGCACGTCAAATTCCAGGGGAGGAACATTTCTGTTTACAGAAGGTGGGCGTGGGTTAATAACAGGCTGAGAAAAACTTCACTTCTTTCTTCACATCTGTCTGAGCAATGCTGCTTTCTGTCTCTGAGGCACCTCTTGCTGGTCCAGTTTCCCGCATCTGTGGGACTGTCAGACCTGTGAGTCAAGCAGTGTTGGCTATGAGTTCACAGCTTTAAGGACCAATAAAGCCTGAGTAATACGAAGCTTCTTTGCTTTCTTAGACCACAAGGCCTGGCCTGAGCGGGCTGTGCCTCCACTGGCTATTTGTCCCTAGTGGAGCGTGGTGGTTCTGCAGCTGGGTCAGGCTATAAGGGACCCACTGGTGGTCGCCAGGGTGCCTGGAACATCCTCAGAATTCCACTGGTGGGTTCTGACCTTTGTTGGAGATGGAACCTCTGAGGCTGCCTTCGGAGCAGCCATACTGCTCTATTCAGAGCTGGTGAACAGCCAGCTCCTGCCACAGGAGGCAGCGCTCTGAGGGAACATGCTTTCTCTGCTGCCAGTTCTCATCCCTGCTGGGACATCCTCTCCATGGCGAACAGGATACAGACTGGACAGGGGAAGGGCCCAGCAGACACATCTCACTCAGCAAATGAGCCAAAATGTTGCCAGGCCTGCTCTTCAGTCTGGTCATTTTCATCCAGTAAACCAGGCCTAGCCAGGGCCCCTGGTGGGTGGGTCCAACAGGAATCTCCTCCTTTCTACCAGCTTGCAAGGCCTCAGACAAGTCTCTGCCCTTCTGGCTCCCCTTTAAATAAAGGGGCTGAACAACAGTAGTTTTTTCAACTTATTTAGCCACAGAGCCAGTTCCCCACCTGAAATTTATTCTGAAGCCTGCAGAGAATGCCAAGAACACTGGAGCTGCTCTGGTTCTAGCTGTGTGGTCTCAGCGGCACTTCGCATATGGTCAGGCGCCCTTACTGCCCTGACCCCCAATCTTCCACCTGAGTAGTTTCAAAGGGAACCCTAGGGTTTCACATCCAAATTTTCAGCCTCAGATTCACTGGTCCCCACCTGTGACCTGTAGGCCTTCAGCTGCTTACTCAATGGAGAGCCCGTGGGCATCCTCAGGACCTTCTCACCTATAGAGAGTGCTGGTTTCTTGACCCCCGCAAAGGCAAGGGAGGCCTGGGCTTCCACAGACCTTTCTTGGGGTAGGTCGCCTGCCACACTTCCTGGACTCTGGTCTGGCCTGCGGGGGGGCGCCCCTACGGTGGGACAAACTTGGACCAGTGCCGGAGAGGATCCATCCCTCCTTCTCTCCTTTCCCCTTGGACTCTACTGAGATGCCTCCATGGGGTTCTTTGAGCATGCTCCCGCCCGAGCTTGGGAAACGGGCCAGCCGCCCTTCACCGCCTTGGATGTGCTGTCCCTCCATCCCCACCTTGCACTTTTCCTTCACTACTGAAGCTCTGGGCTCCCATCTACCCCAAAGCCCCGTTTGTTTAAACCCAACTGTCACTAGATGAGTTTGGACCACTGGAGTTGACAGAGGAGAACCCTATTTACCAGGAGACAGGAGGGGTTTTAGTTCCCCCACGCTAAACCACCAGCTACCGCAGTACTAAACGGCCCGAGGGCTGGCTGGAAGTTCTCACCTGGCCCCGGGACAAAGACAGTTCCTAGGTGTCGGTCGTTTCTCTCCAGGAGCTTTGAGGGTGTAAAACGTTCGCCTGGCCTGCAACGGTTGACTCTGGGCAACGCCCTCCTCGCCCCTCCAGCTTCTCCAGACCCCTCGAGGCAGGCGCAACAGTGCCTGCGCGGTGCTGCATTCCGCTTCCGCTGCACGAGCTGCCTCCACTGGTGCTGCCGCGCCCCGAACGTGGCCCCGCGCTCCGGCAGCACCCCGCAAGGGGGGCAAGGCCTGCTAGCGCCTAGCTGTGTGGTCTCAGCGGCACTTCGCATATGGTCAGACCAAGGATCAGCCTGGGGGCAGCGACCTCAGGAGTGCCCCTACACCTCAAGCAGAAAGGTGGGGAATTATTTTTTTCTGGCGACTGCGTATTATTTCAAAATGCCATCGAATCAGAGTCACTGTTTCCAATTTTGTGTCACTTCTAAGAACATTTTAGTTATTATGGCTTAGTGCGTTTATTTCTGCAAGGTTTAGCGCCTGGAAAGGAAGTTGCATGTTTTACATTTTTCAGTAGCGACCTCCAGCTACTTTTCCTTAAACCTCCAGCCTGGTGCCTCTCCCTGGGATCGGGGAGCAGAGCCCCTGAGCCTTCTTAGGTTTCCTCGCCTTAGAATAACCTGTTGTTTACTTTGGCCCATTTCCCTACTGCGTTGTTTGTCTGTTTGACTTGGTTTATGGTGTTTCTTGAAAGGTAAATAACGCATGCGCACACACCAACGTTTTTACGTTTTGTTGCAGTGTTTCTTTTGTGTGTGTGTGTGTGTGTGTGTGTCAATCTCCTGTCTATCTAGAATATATTTTAGTTGATGCAGTAAGGCAGGAGTCAAACTTTGTTTTTTTTCCAGATGGAAATTCACTATGCCAGCCCCATTTAGTAAATGAACCAGCTTCGTCATTGTTTATAGTCCACTCTTTCCTTTAGTCTATCTCTGAACTCTGTTCTCTTCCACTGATTTGTTCATTTATGGCCTGAGCCAATATCATGTCTTGAATTCAGCAGCTTTATATTCATTCTTTCACTTATTCAGCTAACAAATACGTATATGTCACACCTGCCGCTGGAGAGATGGCCACGAACTGGGCAGTCTCTGCCCTCATGGAGTGGAGAGTCTAGTGTGGAGAAAGAACATAATATGTCAGAGGGTGATGGAGAAAATTAAAGGAAGGGGGTTGGAATTCCTATTTAAGTAAGAAAAGCCAGGGAAAACCTGAGAAGATGGCATTCAAAGCAAGGCCTGAAGATGAGGGAAGTAGTGCTGTGGGTATCAGAGTAAGTATTTCCAGGCAGAGGGGACAACCGGTGAATGGGCCTGAGGTGGGATGTTTGATGAATAACAAGGAGGCCAGCATGGCTAGAAGAACGAGTGAGGGGCAGAGATGACAAGGGCCAGATTGTGTAAGGCCCTGGAGACCACAGTGATGACGACGGCATTCACTCTCAGATGTCTTAGACTGTGGGTAGTGGTGGAGCTGGTGAGAATTTTGAAGGCAGACCTATCAAATTTGCTGTTAGGTTTGATAGGGGTGTGCCTTAGTTATCTAGTGCTGTTATATCAGCAATACCACAAATGGGTGGCTTTAACAAACAAAAATTTATTTTCTCATAGTTTAGGAGGCCAGAAGTCTGAATTCAGGGTGCCAGCTCTCAGGGAAGGCTTTCTCTCTCTGTCGGTTCTGAAGGAAGGTCCTTGTCTATTCTGACTTTCTGGTCCTGGGCGATCTTCGGATAGCTTGGCATCTCTCTTCCCCAATCTCTGCTCTGCTTGCATAATCTGTTTTGTATCTCCAAAGAGATTGACTCAAAATACACCCTACACTAATCCTGTCTCATTACAAAGACAACGCATTCCCAAATGGGATTATAACCACAAACACAGAGGTTAAGATTTACAACACATATTCTTTGGGGAAGTAATTCAGTCCATAACAGAGTATAATAGAAGCGTCAAGAATGATCCCACCATTTTTAGCCTAAACAACTGGGAAGAATGGAGCTACTATCTTCTGAGCTGGGGGAAGACTGGGAGCAAAGGCAGGGGTTGCGGGAGATCGGGAATTTGGTTTCAGCTGGTTGGGTTTGAGATGCCCCTTAGCCACACCGGTGGAGGCATTCTGTAGTCAATTGGACAGGCGAGTCAGATGTGAGGGGAGAGAAACTACTGAAACTATAATTTGGGTTATCATCAGCATCTAAATTGCTCAATCTCTCACTATTTTTCTTTTTTATAATTTCCTGGCTGTTAGAATTTATTATCTCACATGAAATTTAAAATCACTTTCTCTAATTTTCCCCCATGCCTGCCCAAAAAACTCCCATTGGGTTTTAATCATAATTGCATCAAATTTAGGTGTAAGTTTTGGGAGGGTTGACATTTTTTTATGCTATTAAATCTCCCCAGATGATACAGAGTGGGTTTCCAATTGTTGAAGACTTATTTTGGATCCTCCAATAAGATTTTATCATTTTTTCATATGGGTTCCAGGACTTTGTGGTTAAATTTATTCCTAAATATTTATGGTTTTGTCACTATTGGGAATGGGATATTTTTTCCATCTCCATTCTTCACTAATTATTAATATAGAGAAAAGATAATGTTTTTAATATGATTTATTTTCTCTCTTATGAACTTGGGTAGTTTTTTTTTAAAAAAAAAAAAAAAATAAGCCTTTTTTAAAAATAGATATAACAGTCATTGTTGTTAGCTGCTGTCCAGTCGGCCCCTGACTCATGGTGACTCCATGCACAAGGGAATGCTGCCAAGTCATGCACCATCCCCATGATGGTGGTGGATTGGACCACTGTGATCCACAGTGTTGCCATTGGCTGATTTTCTTCCTCGTTGGTCTTAGTCTGGAAGCTCTGCTGAAACCTATTCAGCATTATAGCCAATAACACATAAGCCCCCATAAGACTGCTGCACGTGAGGTGCATTGGCAGGAATTGAATCCAGGTCTCCTGCATAATAGGCAAGAATTCTACCACTGAACTACCAATGCCTCATACATAATCATATAGTCTGCAAATCTGCAGATTGCAAAATGTAAATTATTTGATTTTCTTGCCTTTTTGCTTTAGCTAGAACCTCTGAACCAATGCTGAATGATCATCCAGGTCTCGTTCCTGATGTGGAGGGACACGCTTCCACATATCAGGGTTGAGCAGGGTGTTGGCTGTTGGTTTTAGTAAATAGCCTTTAAAGTGTTGAAAGAATTTCCTTCTATTTCTCTTGAGCTTGGGGCCTTGGAGACTCTGAGCTGGGGTTGTCACGCCTGTCCGAGTTGGGCACCAGGGGGCAGCAGTCCCCAGAGAGTAGAGCACAGTGGCTGAATTTAGTCTAACTTCTTTTCAACATCTACTGATAAAATCATGTACGGTTTTCTCCTTTAAGCTGCGGCTTAACAATTATTCTTATTATACATTGAGCAGCTACAAAAGAATGTCATATTTATAAAATATTTGTAAGGTAAAAAGAGCATACAGTGAACACCCATGTATCTATTACATGATTTAAGATAAAGCACTATTACTTTATAAATCCCTGTGTGCTCCTGCTGAGTCCTATCCCCTTTCCTCCCTGCCCCAAGATAACCACCATCCTGAAGTCTGTGTTCATCTTTTCTCTGCTCTTCTGTTTAGGTTTATTACCTTGGTTTGTATCCCTAGATAATTGTTTTGTTTTGCCTGTTTTTGAACATGAATGGATATATTTTATTTACTATTTGGCAACTTGCTTTTTCTTTTCAACATTATGTTCCAAAAAACTCATCCATGTTGTTGGATGTAGCTTTAATTTATTCATTTTCACTACTGGATAGTATACCATCACTGCTGAATGCTATACAGCAATGAAAATAAATGAATTATACCTATAATTGAACGTACAACTTTAAAAAAAAAAAAAAAATCCATGCCTCTGTGCTGGCATGTGGCTTGTTTCTAGTGTTTTGCTATTACAAGTGCTGCTGTGAGCATTCTTTTTTTTAAATATTTTTTTTAAATTGTACTTTAGGTGAAGGTTTACAGAACAAATATTTTCTCATTAACAGTACAAATATTATTTTATGACATTGGTTAATAACCCCACGACATGGCAACATGCTCCCTTCTTGGCCTTGGAGGACCTTTTTTTTTGGTGAAAATATACATAGCGAAAGATACACCATTTCAAAAATTTCTGCATGCACAATTCAGTGACATTGATTCTTCCAGTTGTGCTGCTATTCTCACTTTAGATGAAGGTTTACAGAACAAAATAGTTTCTCATTGAACAGTTAGTACACATATTGCCCTATGACAATGATTAAGAACCCCACTACATGTCAACACTGTCCTTACTCAACCTTGGGTTCCCTATCACCAGCTTTCCTGTCCCCTTCTGCCT